AAATAAGCCATAAGAAGACAAAAAGAAAAAAACTGTACATAATGTGTTACACTGAGTTTTTTTAAATTTATTTTATTTTTAACTTTTATTTGTCCAGGTAAACTGTTTGAGAACCACTTCTCATTTACAAACATGACCTGTGTTACACTGAGTTTTTTTAAATTTATTTTATTTTTAACTTTTATTTATCCAGGTAAACTGTTTGAGAACCACTTCTCATTTACAAACATGACCTGGCCTGCACTGGGTGCATTGCAATATACAAACCAACATATTTAGCCATAGTTAAGTGATTGTTTGAAAAAAAAAAGAGAAAAAAGTTAGATTGATAGTGATTACAATTTTTAATCTATGCACAGCACTAAAATTAATCAATATGAGTTAACTCGATTAATTTCACAGTCCTATTATTTATACTTCTCATTCAACCACAATTAAATTCACTCTATCTAGGAGGTATAGTTTATATGGATAGTATTTATTTTTTACAATAACAAGCTGGAATAAAAACAAGCAAAAATGAAATAAAAGTAACGACTTTCTACTTCTTGTCTTTTTTAAAAATGTAAGGAGTAGAAAGTACAGATGATTGTGTGAAAATTTAAGAGGTAGAATGTAGGCTGAAAAATTACTCAAGTAAAGTACAGATAACCAAAAATTCTACTTGAGTACAGAAATAAAGTATTTATACTTAGTTACTTTACAATTCTGGTACTGACCAATGAGCTACAGCAGCTCCTCAAATATAAACATTTGATGGCTTCCCACAAGAAAGATAGGCCTTTAAAAAGTGACGTTTTTTGGAAGAAAATTGCATAATTTTCTGTACTTTCAGTCACTTCTGCTCATCCTGTCGTCTCGCCTTCTGGTAATTTTGACATTTTTGAATCTGCCTTTTGACAAATCACAGAAGCTGCAGTGAATGAATTTCCTTGCGGGTAGAAAGAGACAACATTTTTGTCATGTAACGGCTGTGATTTAGGAAAAAGGCTAGTAAATAACCCATTTTTTTCTGGTTTAATTAGAGAGCAACAGCGGAAAAGTTATTTTCTTTTCATCATAACTTGACAAGATGAAGGTGAGGGGTCAGGAGGAGAGTTTTATTTAACAAGCTGTCTCACAGATTTGCCGTGAAAAGTCCTCTGCTTTTCTACTCCTAGACACCACGATGACCCTCACTCACCACTCAGGACTTTCCTCTTTGGCTTTACCAAGGTCTGGTGGACCAATAAGGCTCTTCCAGTGAAGAACAGCTCCTTTTCTGGCCAAAGCCAAAGCAAGCACTGGTCCACTGTGATTACAGAGAGGTGGATGAAATGCCTGCAGTGGTTTTAGGTTTTTAGATTGATTGTAGAAAAGGTCAAATCTACCTGGTCATGCTTCGCAGCAGAGCAGGGAAATAGTCTTCATCAGTGTGTTGGGAGTAAAACTGTCGGACCTGCTCTTCTGTCAACATCACCTCTCTTCGGAGGGCAACTGTGAAGCCTGACTCATGAATCTGGGCCAAGATCTCATCTGCAAAACAACAAAAAGGCCATGAATGAGCACGCTTTAATTTACCTGACAAATACAGTCAAAAGCCGACACACTCAGACTTTTTGTTTACAAAGCGAGTTAGAAAATCGTGGCTGTATCTTTTACTGTGATATTAAAAAGGACAGGGATGGTGTATATGTGTGCGCTCTTGTGCTTGTGCGTTTGGCTGGAACCCCACCTCTGCTCTCTCTGGCAACGTCGGGCCGGATAAGAGCCAGCGTCCTCTCCACACGCCCTTCCTCTCCATCCTGCTCCACCGCCGCGGCCGTCCTGAAGTTGGGGAAGAAGAAGGCGAGCTCCCCGCTGGCCCGGTCGCTGTCCTCGCTGCCGTGCACGGCGTTGAACGGAGCCTCGGTGCCGTATTGCGCCCGCAAGCTGTAGGAAGGCGGGCAGGACCAGATGGTTGCTCGGCTGGTGCTCGACCAAAGAGAAGCATAATGTTTGGGCGTGTCTGATCAAGCAGGCGAGAATGTGCTGTTCGCTCCCTGTTCCAGCCTCTAAGCTGAGACTTGTCTTCATATGTTGGGATTAACAGGGCAGAGATATCATCACTGATGAAAAACTAACATGGAAACCTCATATAAATTACTTAAGAACAAAAATGGCAAAATCTATTGCAGGACTGTATAAAGTTAAGGAGTTATTTAATGATAAAGCACTATTTAATGCAATAATTGTTCCAYATTCGATTTATTGTATAGAAGTCTTGGAAAATGCATGTAAAATCATAACTAATCCTCTTTTTATTTTATAAAAAAAGAGCCATAAGAATTGTTACAAGAAAGCATTACTATCACCCTTCAAATGTATTGTTTCATCAATTAAAGTTGTTAAAATGTCATGAGTTGGTTGATGATAACATTCTGCAGGTTATGTATAAGGCTCATAGAAATGTGTTGCCGTCAAACATCCTATCACGTTTTGTTAAGAGGGAAAGCTGCTGTAATTTGAAGGGATTACAAATGTTTGTTAAACTGAAAATCAGAACAAATTTGAAGGACAGACGCACTTCAGTAAAAGGTATAAGACTATGGAATAATCTGGAAAATGATTATAAAACCATTGGATCAGTTAATTCCTTTAAGAAAACGACRAAAAATGGKTAAAAAATATGAAATTGTTTAATTTGTATTAGTTATTAGTTTGAGGAGTTGAAATTTTTGTTTTGTTTTATTATTTGGTTTATTATTGTTTGAAATATTTTTTAAAAAGGAGAAGATTTAAGAAATTTTTTCTTCTTCTTCTGCCTTTCATTTTATTTGATTTGTATTATTGTATGAAATGTTTTGTTTATTTCTTTAACGAAATTAATAAAAAAAAAGATATCTGCACTTTTAACAAAAGSCTTCCCTTTCATTGTTTTGTTATGCAGCCCAATGATTAAAGGTGAAAGCAGATAATAATGTTTGTGTCCAAGCATCATGAAGCATTRGATGAGTTTTAATGAAACTTTCAGAAAGTAATCAATAAGTGTACATCTATTAAGGATTATACTTTGGAGTCGATCCAGACCGCCACAGCCAACAAAAATTACTATGACTTAAGTCAAAGTAACAGATTTTGACGCAAATTTGATGTGGTAGTGGTACTCTGAGCATGACATCACATGGGAATGCACAAAAACTGATTTGAAAATCTCAGTCTATGAATCTGTGCTGAAAGGCAGCAGGTGATATGAAACACCTTGAATGTGTCCTTTCACAGACCTCTCTGGCCTTTCTCTCCTGGCCTCCTCCAGGTCTGCCGGGCCAATGAACTCACGCCATGCTGGTATAACGCTGGCCGAGCTCTCTGTTTGAGAAAGCACCAGAATATGGGAGGGACCACCGGACATAAACTGCACCAAGTCCTCGAAGCAAGTCTGTAAAACCACAACAGAGCAGAGAAAGCAATATTTTAAATATTTCTATTTTGACTCAATGCGTTCATGTGTAAGAGATAAATATGACGGATTGTTGTAATTTTGCACGTTATCGAACATCTTTATTTGCCAGCATTTTCTCACACACACTGCTTGGCTGAATCTCAAACAGTTTGGTTTCGTAACAAACAGCTTGTTAAGCAAAAAAGTTGCTTACACAGCAGCTCTATTTTGAGCCCCGTGTGGAAACGCAGATGGATGTCAAACGTATTGCGGAGCAACTGAAATTATAATTTTTTTTTTACACACGTTGGTGTGTTGACTCAGAATATTAATGTATCCTCACAAACATTCAGCATCATCAGCTTTTTTTTTAAAGCTTGACTTCGGTAATATCAGTGTTATCATGACATTGATGTGATGCCGTATGTTTCCCTTTTCGCAYATTCCACACTTTTTAAATCTGCTTCATTTCGAGCGGTTCCTGCCGTACCTCTGCTGCTTTGTGTTGGTAGAACTCTCGAGCCTCGGCCTCCGTCAGTGTGCGCTCCTCGTGTGCGAGGATCTCAAAGCCAGCGTCTTGAATCTGTCCAGGTAAGTGATGTCGACAGAGCGGATGAGCGCCTGCTGGAAGGTTTGAGAAAATCCTGTAATCTCAAAACGTGCACATCTTTTTTCTGGGTACCTTCATAATGATCTCATTCGCTTTGCCCTGAGCAACAGCATCTGGTTTGATGATGGCAACAGTGTAGGGTTTACTGGCAGGGACTAAAGAGAGAGAGACAAGTGATTAATGATCATCAGTGGTGTAAAAATGCAAACAGAATCACCTGTAAACAGCAATCACAGCTACGATAAATCTGGCGTAAAGTGGCTGTAAAAGATGTAGTTTGCACAGTACCAATTATACTTCCTTCTTTTTCTGATGGCTGAAGCTTCTCTTCTTCTTTCTCTTCATCTTCCAACAGAYCATCATCTTTAACCTGGAAGACAACAAAACCCGATGAAAACACTAAAACCAAAACATTTTTAATTAACAAAAGCAATAWAAAAGGAGTTTATTGCAGATCAAACTGCACATTCCTTTTGCAAGATTTTTTTTTGAATGACCTTTTGGAGTTACTGATTATTTAATAATTATTTGGCAATTAAAAACATCACAATGCTATGAAAAATGGTCTCCTGGCAACTCAAAAATATCTTCAGCAATCTGCAAAAAAAAAAAATCAAGGATAATCTGTCAAAGAAGATAATGCTTAGAAGAAAAGATGTTCTCATGTCTCAATCAAAACATTATTATTAGCAACGCCAAGTAAATCTGTTTATTGTTTAAGCACTATATGTGTCTGTGTGTGTCTCACTGCTCACCACTTCTCGTACACCATCAGTGTCCAGAACCAGTTTCTCTTTGGCCAGTTCTCCCACAATTATCTTCTCCAGCATAGGACCGTTGGGACCTCGCAGCGCAGCCACCAGCTCACCACCCTGTTTACTCAACATAATCAGTCAACAATTTAACATTTCATCTGAAACAAGATGCAAAAGAGGGAAAGCTCAAAATATGTGTAATTTTAACTATAGTGAGTAAAAAACAAACAAAAAATAGAAAAAGATATGTGATGTCATCAGCTGAGAGAAAAAAAAATCATTGCAATATTATGACCTCTAAGCACTGGAGGGGCAGAGTTCCCCTAAAGCACTAATAGGGGAACTAATTTCCTGWTTAGTGCTTTARGGGTTTTGTTAATTTAAAATTTTATTAGTGGATTAGCACTTGCTAAATTTAAAGACAAAATTTAGAAGCACTAACTTGAGGTCAATAAATGTTATTGATCAGCGTCAATGTTAACAGCTGAGGGTGAAAGCTGTCAATCATTTTGTTCATATATGTGTTACTTATCTACTAGCAGGGTTCCTATTTAAAGCAAGTTAAATTTAAGGCTTTTTAAGGCTTTTTAAAGCCAAATGAAATGAACAATAAATAAATAAATAAAAACTGGCAGAAACTCATGAATCAAAGTATTTTTGGTTGAAGTATTCAACTATTCCTAATAAACCTATTGTTTTTAACCATATCTAACTGCTTTTTTGTCAAATATAGCAAAAAACATTCTTAGCAGTCAGTTTTAAACTTGATTCAGTTCCTTGAAATTTTATAATGACCCAAAATTTGGAGTCAACCCAACCCCAATTTGCTGTAGATGAAACCTTAAAGTGCCGGTGACATCAATTTTTTTTGTAAGAAATGTGAATACAGTTTTGGAAAGACAACATTATTAAAATATTATGAAATAAATTTCATGATGCTCAGATGAACAGTTGTTGAGATATTTACACGTGAAGCAGCAGGAAGTGATATCCAAGAGGAATGTGAATGTTTTAAAAAATAAATAAATATTACCAATTATTTTAATATTTGAGGCGAATTACAGTCATTCTATTTACAATGTGTTAACGACTTCAGAAAGATTTAAGACATTTTAAGGCTAATTAAGGCCTTAATTTTGGATCAATGAATTCAATGACTTTTAAGACTTTTTAAGGACCTGCAGGAACTCTGACTAGGTGACAATATATTCAATAAATGAACTCAAATACAACTGAGGAATGTCAGTAAATCTTAAGAGAGCAACATGACAATATGTGACTCATGTTGTCTGTTGAAGAATGCTCATGGGTTGACTGGGCTATTTTAGTGCTTTAGAATTAGCTTTTGCTAAAACTTTCTGTGCATTAGTGCTTTAAAATTAGGGGACCTAAATAGTTGAGTTAGTGTTTTAGGACTAGTGGAACTAATTTTTTAGGTTAGTGCTGCTAAGCAAGGGGTCTGCTTCAATTTTATACCAGAATAAGCAAAAGTTTTTATATTTATGGTAAAATGAGTTGTGTTATCTTTATTTAAAGCTTCAAATATGTTTGTTGGCTTTGGATATTTAATGGGGCAAAAGAAAAAATAAAAGAAAGTAAAACCCCTCAAGCAGGTTTACATTTACAGTTCGCATTCTAAAATGAAATTACTCAAACATATATAGACACACTTATTACCCCAAAGAAGAGGAAGGTGGGTTCACATTTTCCTCTGTACCTCTCCAAAGCATCAACGCCGTCTGCCTCAGCCTGCAAGCAAACACAAGTCAAAAGCTGCTCCTGTTCTCTTCAAAATAATTTACATTTTGAAATAAATCGGGACGTCACTGTGGCAAAGTGCAGGAGGTCATCGCTCAGCTCGTTCTTTATTTTTCTCAGGAGCCTAACCACAGCTCGACAGGGCCCACACCACCGTTGGTACACATCTACAACTGCGAGGACAGAGACAGTCTGTGTTTACATCATGAGAGGAGGAGACAGAAACAGAGAAGAGGCAGACWGGTGCAGTTGTCTGAAGGAACACAGAGGGGCAGCAAAATACAGCCAATGAAAAACACTGCTGATCTCTTCAACAAAATTATTTCTCTTAGAAAGAAGAACAACTCTTTGGAGCAGGGCTATTCAACTAAATCCCTCCAGGGGCCACAGTTACTGCAGGCCAACAGCTGAGGGGCCAAACATCCAGCAGTTAAAGTCATTATGTAAATAAACCAAGTATTATAAAGATCTGTTACCTTTGAAATAGTTTACTTTGCTGCATTAATCATGAATACAACATACGGAACCCTATAAAAGAAGTGCTAGTAAAAAAACATAAATAACACATTATGCCTCATTTTTGACACAAATATTTTTTAACATCTCTGACCTGCCAAATTTTTAAACCATTTTTATTTTCACTTTCATCATTTTATCTTCAACTGCTTGTAACTGAAACTGTCTCGGATATTCATGGACACGGTTTTTACATCCTGGATCCACTCTTTACAGACTGTTAACCCTAAAGGACTTGATGAAGAAGTGGCGTTGAACTGCTTTCTGTGATTTTTGTCCTTTTTGTAAAAACTGTTTTTATAACTTTTCTGTGATTTCATGTATTTATTGAAGTCTGCTAGTTGTGCATGTTAGTCACAGTTGTTTCTCTTTTTGGGCTGATTGCCCAACCTGTTTGTGATTGGCTTAGGTGTCTTTTTAACCCTTTTTTATATAAATTTGTACTTTGTCTGATCTGTAACAAGTTGACGATGGCATGTAGCCAAAACGCATCCTGTTTTCTGACCTTATTAAAACCACAGTATTTTTTGGAGTACTGGTAATCCCTTTTTTTTTGATTCCTCAGAACCAGGCACCCATTTACTCTTCTCCCCTTTTTTTTATAAGGAAATTTGAGTTGTGCACACTAAAAAAAAATTCTTATTTTACCAGCTTGTAGCCAAGATTCTGACGTTTACACCAAACATGTCTGTGTTTAACTAAAAGACCTTAGAGTAATTAAAGTAGAAAACTGGGGGTTTGGGCTTAAGGGATGAATGAACCAATTGGCGGGCCAGACTTTGGTCACTCGCAAGCCAAATGTGGCCCGCAGGCCACCAGTTGAATAGCCCTGCTTTAGAGATTACCTGTTAAACCTTTTGTTGCAAGCATTTCCTCCCATTGCTCTTGGTTTGTGACAGACGCCTGAACAAGAAAAGTCAAATAATTAAAATTAGAATCTAATACAAATATTTCAGCCAGTGTTAATTAGTTAATTGTAGTGTAGTTTCACAGAAACGTTGCACTTCACCTGACCTGTAGACTCGCTTCTTTCTTCTTACCGGCCATTGAATGCGTATATTYCCCACAAAATAAACAAATAATTACAAAAAAGGTAACCAAATGCCTTCTAGCAGAAAGCTAAACTCTCCAAGCCTCTTGGTGTTCCTGCTTGTTTGGACCTTGGTTACCAAGTAACAACTTTTAAAGGTTGTAACTCCGATTGTTTTACCTCCAGGGGTCGCTGTTGTCAAGCTATTTATATATTAAAACAACACAACTATTTATCTGCAAGTTAAAATAATTATTCTGCAGAAGAAAAATATTGTGTCATGAAAACAAAAAAGCTCTGGGCCGAGCTGTGTTTGCTAAGTTGTTTTCAACTCTGTATTTGGATGAAAGAGAAGTCGCACAAGAAGATTAAGGGCAGAAAAACAAAGGTTGTACCGGCGTCACAGAAATAATCAAGGTGGGAAAGCACCAGTGAGATCAATATAAGCTTTGCTAGCTGTTAATAGAGCATGAGATAAATATTTATCAAGTGTTTACAAGTAAAACTTGCCTGTGTGGTTAGAGTAAATGGTTCATTATGCAAAAAATAAAACTAAATACATTTTTGGACTCACAAACAAATATTTTAAATTTTTTACCTTGTAGATCAAATGTTTGACATACTGATYCAGATTTTCACAAGAACATGAACAAACATCCACATAGCTGTTGACTGCAACCTAATATTTGGCTAAATAACCATGATTGACTGCAGATTTTCACAACATTACTCATCTGTATGCTGAAATAAAAAAACATTGAGTCATTATCACATGAAAGAAAACAGATAAAAACTGTTAACTAATAGTATCGAAAGCCTAAGGCCAAAAGCTCGAGGAATTTTTATGAAAAAGAAAAAAAATATTCTTGAGAACACTTCAAGCACAAACTTTGCAGATATTTTTTTGTGCAGATGAAATCACAGTATGATTTGTAAAGAAGACACTTCATCTGAGAGGGGTTGAGCTGCAGAACACAAGGAAACAGGAGGCCCATTCTCCTGGACAGTAAAATGACATGACAGAAAATATGTGCGTTCCACTAAAAATAAAGCAATCACCACAATTTGATGAACTTAGTTTAAATGGTAACTTCAATCGCTCTCAAGTGAGAGAGTAAATGGTTATTTGTTTAATTTCTCTTTGTATGTCTGTGTGATGGATGTGTGACCTGTTACACTGTGATTGTTGGTACCAGTGGATGGATGGATGATGGATGGATGAATGGGTGGATGGATGGATGGATGGATGGAAGGATGGATGGATGGATGGATGGGTGGATGGATGGATGGATGATGGATGGATGGATGATGGATGGA